AAGCATGTGTTTTCAAGATGCTTGTGCAAATGTAGTGACACTGAAAGAAAAAGAACTAACCAGAAAAATCTTGTAATGCAAATGCAAGGAACTGCCTGAAATATCCTCATTTCACTTCATTTCTCCTCTCCTAATATTATACCCTTTTTGGCTTGAGTCGTCCACATTATTTTTTAAATCACTGTACGCTTTCTTTAAGCTTCTTGGCTGAAAATAATTAAGTTGTCTTTCCCAATTGGATCTTTATAGAGCACTGAAGCAAACATTTCTTTAAGACAGTGACTTAATCTTGCATGCCTGCCGAGCAGCTGGCCTTGCCTCTGGTTGAGTTTGCATATTGCTCTCTTGGGAAACTGCTGCAAAGAACAGGAAAAAGTGAGGCTTCACAAACATTTCCGTATACATTGGAATTCTCCAACCTTCCTATGTCCTTCTGAATGCCTTACCCGCTGAGAGAAGGGAGCGGATTGGTTGGTAAAGGTTTAGCAGCTCACATAGTTAGGATTAAGCAAGACCATGGAGGACTTTAAGGGGAAGACGAGGATCTTAAACTTGATCCACTGGGGGATGCAGAGCCAGTGAAGCCAGGTGAGGATGGGAATGATAAGCTCGTGAAGCTTAATGCAGGAGAGGACACGAGCTGCAGTTCTGAATAATCTGCAGCTTGTGGAGGGAGGAGTTGGGAAGAACATCAAGTAGGGAGTTAGCGTAGTCAATCCTAGACATAATGAAAGCATGGATGAGTGTCTTGGCAGCCTGAGGAGAGATGTATTGCTGGAGGCAGATGATGTTGCGGAGGTCAGGGAAGGCAGAACAAGTCATGGCATGGATGTGATGTTTAAAAGACAATTGAGGGTTGAACAAGACACCAAGGTTCCATACTGGGTCAGTAAGGTGGACTGTGGATCCAAATAGTGATGCCTTGAGTGCCTGAGGTGAGGAGGCACTGACAGGAGCCAAGCAGGAGAGCCTCAGTCTTGTCGACATTGAATAGGAGAAAATTTGCCCTCATCCAGGACTTGATGTCTGACAGGCAGTCCGTCAAGACAGCAGTGATCCTGGAGTCGAGAATGGAGGCAGAAAGATAGAGTTGGGTGTCATCCGCATACATGTGGAAGTTAATAACAACAACAAAAAATTACATTTGTGCCTTTCACGTCTTGAGGACATCCCAATGCTCTGGACAGTCAGGGTTCCACACCTGAGCTGGTGGTTGGGATCAGGAGGGGTGGAGGGTGGGGAGGGTAGGGGTAGGAAGGTAACTTCATGCCTGCGGATAATGCTGTGTTGTTTTGCTTTTATAATGCTAATATTTGCTTTTGATGTTGTGTATGTGGTATTCTTGGTGTTTCTGCTGATTACATGCTTATAAATAAATGTTTACAAATAATATGACATGCTTATAAATAAATGTTTGTTACATGTGGCTCAGTAAAAAGTGAATCTACCACAGTTACCCTGTACAAGAACACTATATGAATGCAAGATGTTATTGTGGTTGACGATTGTATGCAAGCAAATTCATTATTTATGAACAAAAGATTCTCTGTGATTTTTACTTTGAAACAACCTCCAGGTCCCATGTGATTATTTTGTCCAGTCCCCGATTGCATCCAAATTTCTCTGAGTGTTAAATATGTTTCCATCGGTGTCATCTTGGGAATAGATTAATTCCATTTTTCACCATCATTTTTAAAAAGATGTTGCTACATCATATTTTCCTATTTGGGATTCAATCATGTCTACTTAAAAAAAGAGTGGAATGTCAGTTCAGTTTGGAAATCTAAAAAATGTTTTTTGTGGTTAGGAGTCAAGACCTGTCAGTGTACTTGATTTTTTTCCTCAAACAAGACTTTTGCATTAAAACAATCAGATTCAAATAATAACATAATGTGTCATCTTTGTTTAAAAGGAAATGTGTGGATTTGTTTTTGTGATTATTACATCAATTCATCACCTGACTTTTTACTGAAAAAGAGTCCATAACATTGGCACTCAAGTGCTTGTACCACTCTAGGGAGAAATTCCACCTGGGTCCAGACTTACTTCACTTTCTTAGCATTTCAGAGCATGCAGAATTTGGCAAATTATTGAATTCGTCATAACATAGAAGCCAGTTTCCGTAGTTCTTAAAAGAAATTACAGCAAATCAGCTTCAAAATGGAGAATAAGAATTGCTGAGTTCTTCACATTCTGAAATATTAAGAAAATAGAGTCAAATTAGATTAATTTTCTACCCACTCTGTGTCCTCTGACTTCTGTTTTAGGGGAGATTGACTATAGCTTACATATTCTATAATAATAATAATCCTTGCATTTGATATAGAGCTTTTCAGTTCTTCTCGACATCTCAAAGCGCTTCACAGAATAGACTGTAAAGTGAATTGACCGTATATTTGTAGGCGAAACATGGCAGCCAATTGCGCACAACAGTGTCGTAGATTGACAATGACCAATTTATTATTTTTGTTTTGGAGGGATTATTATTAGGCGTGTGGAGTAAGGAAACTTGCCCAAGGTTTCGCACTGCCTGGAATTGAACCCAAGTGTCTCACTTGCAAGGCGAGTGCTCTAACCACTGAGCTACAGGACTCCACATCTGTTCCATCTAAAATATCCCTCTGCTGTTTCACACATGTTATGAAACAGCAAGCAGAATCTATCAGAATATTCAAGAGGGAATTGCAAAACTATTTGGCAGATTGTGGGAATTGAGAGATAGATAAGTATAAAACTGTTTTGTTCCTTCATTTTTTCTCTCTCTCTTATAAATCTAATAATCCTTGTGTTTGATATAGCACTTTTCACATCTTCTAGCCGTCTCAAAGCGCTTCACAGAATATACTGTAAAGTAAATTGACTGCATATTTGTGGGCGAAACACAGCGGCCAATTGCACACAGCAGTGTCCCACAAATAGTCATGGATTCCAGTGACCAATTTATTATTGTTTTTTGTTCTTGAGGGATTATTGTCAGGGGAGTGGAGTAAGGAAACTTGCCCAAAGTTTCACCCTGCTGGAAATCAAACCCAGGTTCCTTGCTTTTGAGGCGAGTCCTCTAACTACTAAGCTACAGGACTCCACTCTTCTGACTCTCTCTCTCTCTTTGAAACCACAATAGACTTTTTCAGTATGTACATTCCTATCATTTTATGTCATGTACATAAAAAACACATGAGAAAGGAATCTGTGTCGAACCTTCTATATTGCGACATTGTTCATTAGATCAAGTCTTCCACAACATTTTTATCAATTGAGTGGGATATGCCTAATGCCTTCAGGTTGCTCATTCCTGGAAACTCGCAAAAAATTTACTTAGATCTCGGTGTTGGGCCAATAAAATAAATACCTGCCTCACATTCAATTAAATGACAGACACTGAGAGATGAAAGAAAAGCAAACACTTACCGGAGGGAGTGGGGTTGTGGGGGGCTGCTACCCAGTAGATGCAGATGCTAATTTATCAGAGTGTTACATAAGGAGTGCTTGAAATCTTATCCAATAACTCTCAAATTTCAAAGAATGAATTACAATTAGAAACTTTATTTGAAAAAAATGTTGCTTTATGTAATGCCCAAAATACATAAACTTTCAATTGCATATTAAGAATAATATAATCGTCAAAATAATCTTTACATAGATAACAATAAACTTATGTTTTTATACAGTAATATAGCTTTAACTCAGTTCAAAGTAACAGCATATTAGGATATCTTAAATTAGGTTCAGCTAAGCTTCAGTTAATAACATAATAATAAAATCCAACTGAAGATTATAAATGTACTAGCAAAATTAACCCCAGCAAGGTAGCAATCATATCTTCAAAGTTTTATTTCAATAAACAATGCAAACAGATTGCTGAGCTATACTGCTAAATCAGTCAAGTTCAGAACCCTGGACATCATATGGAAGCTATAGGGAGCCTCATCAATATGTATCACAATTTAAATGGGATTGAAAAAGTAAACATGAGATAACATAAACCCAGATCAATACTTTAGGATGTAACCATAGAGTAGAACAAGAGGGTATAGGGTTAGAGGTGGAAAAGGCATTTTCAAAACAGATACCAGGAAGTTTTTCTTTACTGAGGGGTTAATTAATGACCAGAACAGGTTGCCAGGAAAGGTGGCTGAGGCCAGGGCACTGAACTCATTTAAAAAACAGCTTGATGCTGTGACAGGAGGATGGAAGGGTGGTATGGAGTTGAGATCTTCTTTATCCAAACTAATCTCATGATCTTGTGAAGTCTATGATTCAGATAGCTTTAACACAAAAATTGTGACCTCTTTGATCAGAAGACAGTTTAACCAGAGTGTGGAACAACGGCAGATTCTCTCAATCTGAGGTTCATCATTTGGTTTATTGGCAATTTCTTATAGTCTTCCTTTTTCTGATGCACTGGGTATTTTTGTTATCACCTTGTCATTTTCTCGATTTGCTACTTTATATTTGTTAGACCCCTGTACAAGTTGAGAGAGCACTGAATATTTTACCAACAGGCTGACAAACTCAATGAACAATGAACTAGAAAACAGAGTCTCAGTGAATCACAATAATTGATCTAACTGATTGTAACTCATGAACTGACTTGATAAGCAACCTTGCCAAAACACAACCTTACTTCAGACAATCTCATCTATCAATCACTCTCCAAGCATAGGATTCCAATTAAAACTCTGAGCTAACTTAATCTCTGCTATTTTCTGATTTCTGTTCTGCTTTTAATTAAAAGATAACACATAATAATAATAATAATCCTTGCGTTTGATATAGCACTTTTCATGTCTTCTAGGCATCTCAAAGCGCTTCACAGAATATATTATAAAATGAATTGACTGTATATTTATGGACAAAACACAGCAGCCAATTGCACACAACAGTGTTTCACAAACAGTTGTGGATTGAAGTGATCAATTTTATTATTGTTTTTTTCTTCTTGAGGGATTATTATCAGGCATGTGGAGTAAGGTTTTGCCCTGCCGGGAATCAAATCCAGGTCTCTCACTTGCGAGGTGAATGCTCTAACTACTGAGCTACAGGTCTCCAGGATATCACATGGTCTTGTTGACCAAACTTTGCCATGCATTCCTTTCCCATTAGAGATCACTGAAGCAAAAACAAAGAAGCCTTTGTAGGGAGATGCCAGGGAGTGAAGGGATTTGAACACAAGTGTAAGGATCTTAAAGTCAAAAGACTGAATTGAAGAATTTTTCATAGTACTGCACCACCTTAAATCTTAATGGTCCTATATGCTAAGACTAGTTGAAACTGTATCCTTTAAAGGTAGAGCTCTATTTATTACAAAGTTAAGTTGATCTGAAGGGATATTGTCACATCACAGCTACAGAGAAGCGTTGAGATATCTGCTGTTCTCATTACTGTCTTGAAAACAATTAGAAGCAGAGATAATGGGGTTTAATTTGTAGTATTTATTGGTAGATTTCTTTACAACACGTGTATTTATAATATTTGAAACACAACATGCTGAAGAATGCATTACGTTTCCTGAATTCTCTGACATACTCTGAACTTTTTGGAAAGAAGTAATTTGAGCACTGAGCAAATTGGGACAAACCTTACAAGGGATATTGAGGTCTGGCACATGGTGTAACATGTAGACTGATCATAAATGGCTATTTTAGCAACTGGACAGGGGGGACACAATAGACCTCATTGTTTATAGCTTCCTATTCAGAAGTCTGTTAAAATAGTTCACTATAATCAAATAAACTACATAATCAGCATTTCAGAAATTATTCATACGATAATGAAGTTTGTTTATTTATGAATTACAGAATTGCTGTTTTCCAAAAGTTATTTTTCTAATTTTCTCCTTATTGTCATCTCTGCCTTTAATCTGCAGCCTCCTCATATTGGAGAGTTTTTATCGATGCTGGTTATTCCTCCAACTACCCCCACAAAAGGCATTTTTCATGTGTGAGCCTTGGCAGTGAGTGTTGCTTGGTCACTTGACTGTGACTTGGTCACAGCCAAGCCTGTCTGCCCTCACCCACAAACAGTGGACCGTGCTGAAGAGGGCAAGAAGTCCAAGCCCTGGCTCGTTTAATCATCACTATCCCTGGTCCAATTTCATCTCTCCAGACCAGCAAACTCAATATGGGTTGAGATTCTAATCTGTAACTACAACTTCACTAAGTTATCTGGGCTATTATTGCTGTTATTGTATTCAGGATATAGATAGTCTTACATTTGAAAAATAATTTCATTCATTCAGGTGGCAAAGACGCTTTCAAACACGATCATTTCCTGATTTTAGCTTCCTTTCCCAACCCTGACGGATCCTGGTAACCATTCTGTCCACACATGGCGTAATGAGAATCAGCTTCAGAGCCAGCACAATGCAGGGAATCACCAGAGAAAGCATGAATGATGGTGGAAGCCCCCACTTATACTTTGACGTTTTCAGGAATCTATCCCAGCCATATACAGCAGCATGACCCGCGGACAGCAACAGGGTGACATGACCAAGCTTGGACTGTAAGAAAAGGGAGCAGTAATTCAGTCAGGTCTTAGTCTGGCTCGAAAGAGATTGGAAAATATTTCCCAAATAAAACCACTTGAATAATTTGGGTGAATTTTGTTTTCATTTATACAAAACCAACCAATGCAAAATAGATAAGTGACTACAACAACATTTATATGGAACCCTTCATGCAGAATGGCGTATTGGAGTGCTATACAATGATGGGTTATATGCCAAGCAAGGGAAAATGGGGAGGTCATCATAGGGGCAGTCAAAGTGGGAATTAATAATAGCTAAAGAGGGGGTGAGGTGGAGAGTATGAGACAGAGAGTTCCAGAGGTTAGGGGCATAGTGGCTGAAGGGACAGCTGCTCGAGGTGGCATAGAAGGATAGGGAAACTTTCAGCAGACCTGTGTTAGTTGAGTGAAGGGGCAGGCAGAGGAATGGGATACAAGCAGGTCAGAAAGATGGGGAGGTGCTAGGGTAAGAATGCATTGACATATTTTATACTGGCAAAGTGGTGGCAGTCATATTTCTGAATTTGAGTTCAGTTCCTATCCCGAGTCATCTTTCTTTCTCATTACGCCCCACTCTGGAACTCCCTGCCTCAAACCCTTTGCCTTTCCCCTCTTTACCTATCTACAAATCACACCTTAAAACCTTTCTCTTCAGCTGCACCCAAGGTCACCTGCCCCCTCCCCTTCCTCCTATTTTATGATGCAACACTCCCAGATTCTATTCTGCATGAAGGGCACTACATGAATGCAAATGATTGTTGTATTTATATATATTTTTGTTGTTTCCTGTTTTTTGCATGATGATAGTTTTTCTATATTGTTTTAGTATAAACATAGTGGTTTAGTTGCTGATGCTGTATGATTCTGTTATCAGATTTGATACTCTCTCAGTAACTGTTGTGTAAAATTCCATTCAGCATTATGCGTAATGCTTTTATTGATTTCGACCACTGATGGGATTTCCCATCACATTGTAAAGGCGTTGAATGTAACGCTAAATTGAATTTTTACCCCCACGGGTCCTGTTCATGATATTTTTATAATATATTTGCAATATTAAAAATAAACAATTTGAAACAAGATGGCATGATTCAGCTCTAGGCATTTTGGCAAAATAAAATTCCACTGAGGAACTGTTCTGAAATCACATTGAGTTTGTACAGTCTGAAATATCCTGAAATAAATCATTCAGCCCACAGCTCCTAAATCAATTTAACAACTCGGTTTTCGAAATCTGCTTTCTGAGTAGCAATTAAAGTGCAGGTTTATTTTCTGATATGGATACACTGTATATCAAATTCAAAAAGTTGCAGATGATCCAGGTGGGTACCTACCCAGAATACCTTCATGTTCCTATTTGCTTCTCCCCAGCTACCCATAAACTACACTGATGCAGAACTTCAAAATTCCTTATCCACATTAAACTCTGTATCCCCATCACACCAGAACTTGCCAGACTTCACTGACTCCCGATCCCAGAACAGATCGATTTCAAGATCCTCTCACATCTACATATCACTTCATGCCCTGGCACCTCCCTACCTTTCCAACCTGCTGTCTCCCCATTCCACTGTCCGCTGTCTCCGCTCAGCTGGCACTGAACTCCTGCTTGTCCCTTATCCTAAGGTGGCCGGGCCTTCAGCCTCTCAGCCCCCAGGCTCTGGAACTCCATCCCCCAGTGCCTTCGCCTTGCTTCCTCCCTTTCCTCCTTCAAGGCCGGTCTCAAAACCTTTCTCTTTGACCGTGCCTTCAGCTCCCCTCTCGACTCTTCCCCCTCCTCGCTCCCTCCCTTCCCTCCCCTCACCCTGACCATTTCACCCCTCCTCGCTCCCTCCCTTCCCTCCCCTCACCCTGACCATTTCACCCCTCCTCGCTCCCTCCCTTCCCTCCCCTCACCCTGACCATTTCACCCCTCCTCGCTCCCTCCCTTCCCTCCCCTCACCCTGACCATTTCCCCCCTGCTCGGGTCATGACCCAACTGTGCAGCGCCTTGGGACGTCCTCCTGACGTGAAAGGCGCTTTATAAATGGAATCTTGTTGTTGTTGTTGTTGTTGTATCCCCTCTGCTCCCCCATCAGCGGCCGTGCTTTCATCCACTGAGCCCTGAAGCTTCGGAGCTCTCTTCCTCAATCCCACGTTGCCCCTCCTTCCCTTGTTTAGATCATGACCGAAGACTTTCCTCTTCGACCGTGATTACAGTTACCTCCTCCCTTCTCCCCTGGCTTGGCATTAGGTTCCACCACTGTTAAGCGCTCTAAGACTCTGCGCCACGTGAAGGGCACTATATAAATGCAAGTTGTTGTTGCTTGGCTTGGTTACTCTACAGCAATGAATCTTTAGAAATGACGCATGAAATACCTGCACAAATCTGAACTCTCTCCAGTTCATTGAATTGGCAATTGATGGAAAGGAAGTGATTCCAAGCAAAAGGAAGAGAAAAAAGCCCAAGATTCCAATTGCGTAATACAGATCCCCACGCCAGGCTGATAGTTTGCTCATTTCCGAAGACGTTGTGTTCTTTTGTGCCTGGATAGAAAATGGAAATAGACAATAGGATAATGAAAACTTTTTTTGGCTACTGTCCCTCAAGTCTGTTGGCAGTCTGACACATAACTTCCAAAGGGATACATATCAACTTCAAACATATTGTTCCAATGTTTGCTCATTCGAGAATTAATCCAACTTCCTTTAGATTCCTTCACATGAACCACAAGGCACTGGATAATCTAAAGCCAATATTTATTCATTCTTGGATGAGGCCGCTACTCCACATGAAGGGCGCTATGTAAATGCAAGTTGTTGTTATTCTCATTGCTATTGTTGTTGAAGGAGTTGTTTCCCTATCCAAATATCTATCATAATTAATTATGGTCTGAGTGGCTGTTTTCAGCATAACATTTGAATAATCGTATATATGTATATCTTAGAATAAAGGATATTTCAATGCATAACTAGTTAAAAAAAGCAAGCAATATACTGTATTGGTCATTAACAGAGAGGAACAAAAGTAAGTTCTTGCTGGGTCAGAAAGAACAGTGTGTTCTGTTGGTGTCCTGCCTGTGGCAGCAAATTAAAGTTGAAAGAAAAAAACAGACAGACTTGGATTGCCTAGAAAGCAAATGGGAATTGACCATCTGTAAGGAAGCAATAACCCAACAAATGAAGGACAATGAAAAAGTGCATTCTGTATGTGAGTCTAGCTCAATTTGCAGCTCTTTCTCTCTGAGTCAGTCTGTTGTGAGTTTAAGTCCCATGTCAAGTCCCATTGCTGGGTGTGCTGCATTCCTGGAGATGCCATCCTTTGGATGAGATGTTAAACCGGGGTCCCATCTGCCTGTTCAGGTGCATGTTAAAGATCCCATGGCAATTTTGAAAAGAGAAGGGCGTTTAACCTGGTGTCTTGGCCAACAATACCCCAAATACATCCTGACAAAGTTTGTAAACATCCGTTGCTTGTATGCCAAATTGGTGTCCCCATGAATCGTCGCCCCCATTTTACCTGAAGATCTTTATAAGAGCGTGCATTATTAAAAAATCTCTACCTGATAATGATGCATACTGCAAATGTTTCAAAAGTAAACATTTAATTGTTGGCTTTAATTGCAGCTTGTTTTTTAATATGTCCGCATGAGAATAAAGTAGTCACAGACTTGAGGCTTGAAATTTGCTATGTTCTTAGTCTTAAATCCATTGTTTTAAAATATAAGATCTTGCACAATTTTGGAAATGTTTCAAATTTCGTCAACTTTGACCAGTTTCCTATAATTTTTTGAAGGCTTTAGGGATGGCTGGAAATTAGCATTGTTTCATAAGAAATCGAATGTGTTGGTTAATATGTTTGGAAATATCACAACTTTCAATGGAATCAAATTGAAATGGGAGCGTGTAAATACAAGCGCATGTCTTACCTCTGCTGCGATATGGTTAGTGAGCCACCATCTGTATGAGTATCGAATTGGTATGATTAGCGTGTAGAAAACATGAAGAAAGGCGAAGGCTAGGGCCACAAGCCCAAGCTGTTTTCGACACAACATCCACCTGTCCAGCCAGTTTGGGAAACGTTTGTACTTTGTGCCTCTGTAGAGCTGAAGGAGTGCAGCCATCACACCTGGCAGGTAAACCAAGCCCAGGAGGATGAGAGAGACTGTCGGGAAAACATGGTTGGGAATGGATATCAAAAGCCGATAAGAATTTTCAGTGCCTCTTATCACATAGGAATAGATTAAATCAATCAACACACAGTACAAGTAGATCAAAATGGTGAGGCCAGCCGTTATGATAAATGGAAGCCTCCACATTGGGAAGAGCTGCAGAGGGTAGTTTTCCACTTCATTGGCTGCTAACAGAGATCCCTGGTCTAAAGGAGTGAGGCCAATACTCCTGGCAATGTCCATCACCAAATGTTTGGCTTCACCATCCTCTCCACAGACAAAGACCTGTATTAAAGAACAATAATAGTTTAGTTAGTGCTCAAATTACAAATAAAACTATAATTTAACATGCATGGACGCACAACAATATATAACACCTTTCACTTATAAAACTCTTATCAAAATGCCCAGAAATCATTTAAGATTGCTTTTCAAACTTCACCATTGAGAATGATATTGAGGGAGGATTATTTTCTGTACACATCTAGGTATATTCAATACACTAGATATTGAATGTCCTGCTAAAGTGACCTCATAGTCTTTGTTTGCAAGATCAGAAGAGAGGTTCAGTTGGTGTTCATTGACAATAACATAAAATTTCAATCTTACCTGACTGTTTGCGTCCAGGTTCCCTGATTGCAGGGCCCAGGCTGAAACGGTGTTAAAGCCCTTCACCACAATGGCTTTGGGAACCAGCTGAGACAGATATGCTGCATTAGACTCTCGGTACTGGTTTATTTTCAGGTTGTTGCTCACATCCACCAGCACTTTACCATCAAACAAATCACACAGAGGTTGGAGGAAGTCATAATTTTCCCTGTGAACAGCCAAGAAGATGATCTGGGATCTTTTCAGAGCATCAGCGTGTGTGAACACCTCAGCTCCTCCAGGCAGCAGGGCAGAGTTCTTGGGGTTTCGGCTGCCGAATATCACGGGATATCCAGCCTTGATCAGCCTCATACCCAGGGACCTGCCAAAATCTCCAGTCCCCAAAATACACACTGCGTTCCGTTTGTGGACATGTTCACCTTTAAGTGAATTCATATTCATGAGTGCAGAGTTTTCTATCTGCGAAACACAAACAAGCCACATGGTAATTTTATTGAACAAAATGAAAAATATCACAGATGTTTTAATAGAGAAAGATTCCCATTCTAAAGAATCAGGCAGCCAGTAGTGGTATATATTTTTATTTTTAGTGAATTTGCCTTTCACAAAAATGATGGGTGGGACTTGGAATACGTTCTTATTTCGGAGATTTGGTGTCAGTACGGAACATTTCCAGGTTAGATACATTGCCCAAATAATGTACTTCAACTCCCGTCCTCAGAAACTACCTCACTGCAACCGTGTGATATTTATTATTTCACACACCGGCTTCAATAAACTAAATAAACTACTCTCCATCTCTGAAAAGCAAACACAGAAACAACACATGAGGGTTGTCCTTGCCAATTAGTTCTGATAAACAAAGTGTTACAAAAGGAAGCATATTAGGTAGCGAGCAGGAGAGTTGGATAAGATGAAATGTCTCATGTGGGGCAAAAACAGCATTGAAAAGCACTATCTGATCCAAAAGTATCTCTTTTAATTAGTTCGATGTATCATCATTTCCTCCATAACTGCAATATATTTTCCAATAAAGTTTCATCGCCTCTCATCTCAGATGCTACGTAAGTCATTTCTACAGACAAAGTGAACCAAATAGGGATGAGACCAGTTAAACCTTATGGAGTCCTGTATTTCAGATTAGAACACTCACCTTGCAAGCGAGAGGATCTGGGTTTGATTCCTGGCAGGGCGAAATGTTGGACACGTTTCCTTACTCCACACTCCTGTTTACCTAGCAGTAAGTAGGAACCCAGTTGATAGTCGATTGGCGGATCGCTTTTCTGGGGGTAATAAGTCCTTCAAAATAAATTAAAATAATTTGGTCACTCAATCCACGACTGTTTGTGGGACACTGCTGTGCACAATTGCCTGCTGCGTTTCGCCCACAAAATATACAGTCAATTCACTTTACAGTATGTTCTGTGAAGCACTTTGAGATGTATCAACGACGTGATAAGGTGCTATATCAAACGCAAGGATTATTATCATTATTATTTATGGTAACATGAAACTATCCTAGTGACGTTTGGAGTCTTCAAAAGTTTACAATTTTCTGTTCTGAAGAACTGGAAGAACTGTAGAAACTGCTAAAAAAAGTTTCCTTCAACTGTCTTGATTGTAATATTTTGAAAACAAATACAATAATAATAATAGTTATTATTAAACAGTCGTGACCAAATTGAGTGACCAAATATTATTATTATTTGTGTTGAGGGATTATTATCCCAGGAAAAGTGATCTGCCAATCGACTAATGACTGGGTTCCTACTTACTGGTAGGTAAATATACTAGAATAATAATAATAATCGTTGCATTTGATATAGTGATTTTCACGTCTTCTAGACGTCTCAAAGCGCTTCGCAGAATATACTGTATAGTGAATTGACTGTATATTTGTGGGTGAAATGTGGCTGTCAATTGTGCACAGCAGTGTCCCACAAACAGTCGTGGATTGAAGTGACCAATTTATATATATAACAGAGGCATGTGGAGTAAGGAAACTTGCCCAACAAATTCCCCCAGCCTGGGAATAGAACCCAGGTCTCTGACTTGCAAGGCATGTGCTCTAACCATTGAGCTACAGGACTCCAACAATGCATATTTCAGTCTTTTTGAAGTAGGATTAACGTCAAGTTTTTCACACAGACGATTGGGATCACGGAGCAGGGAGGAGAAGAGGAAGAATTTAAAGGCATTGTCAAAGAGTCTTTATGAAATTTTAATGGTAACAACAACTTGCATTTATATTGCGCATTTCAGGTGTGGTAATATCTTGGAATACAATGGCAGAGCTTGACATCAAGCTGAGGAGAAAGGAGATGCGTATGTAGACACGGTTGAAGAGGAAGGTCTTCAGTTGCGATCTGAGTTGGGCAAAGAGGGGACAAGATGGATAGGATAAAATGGCAGGGATAGAGGGACTAATTTGCCTGCAATAAAACAATTTGACTTTACTCTTATTTTAGATATGGACAAGGTGTTCATTGTTTGAAATGTGCTTATCACAATCGATAGTAAACTAGCACATTTCACTGGAGAACTGGCTTTAATCTCCACTCCCTGAGTTACTGAGTTCCTGTTCTCCAATATTCTGCGGTGGAACCAGTCAACAAAGCACATGGGTGGTGGTAGTGGTGGTGGTGCAGGGTGAGGGAAAGAACATCAAGGGCTTCTTAAGAGCCAGCAAAGAATGGAATGCACAGAGACCTGTCAGCTTGTGTGTGTCCTGGGAAGACATTGGACAAGCACATTCCTGTATCTCCTGTGAGATCTGCTTTCTTTTACTGCATTCGGAACAAATTATAGAAAATGTCAAATGCCAGGAAGATGGTAAACATAATTTCTTCCCAATTCATATAACTCTGTAACATGGCTGCTGAGATCGCCCTGTTTCTCAGTGAATCCCACATGCTGCATATTGTTTTGCTTTATTTTTAAGATTGCAGACAAATCTCAAGCAATTCTTTCTAACTGAGCTGTCATCTCAGATATATGAAGCACACATAGGTTTGTATTCATTTTAGATTTCATTTTAGCGTAACCACATTGGCAATATCTGCTTTTGTTTCATCAGCCAGATGTCTGATTTGACACACTTAGAAACCAATCAACATACTTAAAAAAGCAGTCATTTCACTTTATAGTATGTTCTGTGACACGCTTTGAGATGTCTCAAAGATGTGATAAGGCACTATATCAAATGCAAGGATTATTATTATTATTAAAATCAAACCACTGAGAGTTCTACATTTGCATGGAACGTTCCCTTGTCCACACTATCTCACTGGAGATATCTCCATGCTCACCTAAACCTTGAGAGCATTAGGTACAGATTGACAAGAACCAAGATTTGGGGACTCAAGAGAGTGCATTGAGTTACTGCTGGATTTTAACATTTCGAACACTCTCTGGCAAGCTACCTACTGCTTGTCCAGCAAGGACCGCACTACCTGTTAGGACTGCAACCTTAACAAAGCTGATTGGGAAGAATCCCTGTCCCCATTTGATATCTGCTGCAACGCAAGCAATTGCAAACCAGTTTGCATGACATTATTTTTAACGTATTTTAAAATATTTTCTTTCTGAGCACAACCATCATTTGTAATACCAGCCACAAAACGAACAGCATCACTTAGCATTTACCTACAGCTCTGAATGTTTCATTCACTTTAACGGAATAATGGCACAACTTTAAACACCAACAAATCAAGATGCTATTGTCTTCAGTTTGCGCTGCGACGAAAATATTTCAGCAATCAAAATTGCATAACCCAACATATAAATCGTGATAATAAAAAGTGGTGATGAATAAGAAAATATAACAAAGTATTAGTTGATAATAACAGCGTTCCACAAGAATAACGACTGTATTAGACATGTCCACAATTACTGTTGTATCCTGTACAAAAGCAATATGCATAAATGCAATGATATTTGTGTACTTGTCAAATGTGTGTCTACACCAAAATTAACCAAAGCAATGCAGGCAAATGCAGGGGAAATGTAAATAAAGTTAAATGTAACTAAAATTATTAACAGTTCCTAATTATTCTTTTGCATAAAACATAAAATATACTATTTTTGCAAGACAGAATTAATCATTAAAAATATAAAGGGCCTTTAACTTCCTTACCTCTCTTATACTAGGATGAACTGGGAGGGGTTGGAAAGTTATTCATTTGAAGAGTGAAGATGAAGCTACTTGGGGTGCCAGATCCATTATAAAGATGAGATTCCGTCTTCTGTTTATCTCTGGGACTGACCCTCGCATTTAAAAGTAAAGTTCCAGTCTCCTAGGGTTAATATCCCACTTGCTCCACCTTTTTGTGTATCTGCCAACAAAAGCACATCCCATCAAAGCCTATCAAACTTTTGTCCCCATATGGTATCTATCTGGAAGGCAGATCGGAATTTCCTAGAACATTTCCTAATGCTTAGCTTAAAATAATACTGTTTGGAAATAAGTGCCACAAGTTGGACATTAGTTTTCTTATCAAAATCAAAGATCTATTTATTACAGACTTTGTATTATATTAAAATTTGATTACTTGGCAATCACCAATATTAACAACAAAAAGATTTGCAATCAGATTTGCATCATGCTGAAATGTTTACTTTTTTTAAACTATATCCATTTGCATATCTGGAGGAAGCAGGATGTGTAAATAAAGATCTTTGCTTCAACGGTTTTCACTGTTAAAGCAAAGCAAATATTATGGGTTGTGTTAACTTACAAGCTTTCCTATCAATTCTGTCCTTGGATTGAAATGTTAAAGCGAGGTCCAGGCATTTGTCTGTTCTGGTCATCAGTGCATGTTACAAATCCCAAGGTACCTTTTGGAATATGAGCAGGAATGCCTCCCAGTGCCTTAGCCAATATTCCTTCAAAATTTATAAAGAAGCAGATAAATTGGCTATTTATCTTATTGCTATTCATGGGAAACGGCTGATGCGGATTATCTGTGTTTACATGCATAGGAATATAGGAAAACAGAAACAGGGGGAGGTTACTCAGCCAATCAAGCCTGTTCCACCATTTTATTAGATTTTGGAAGATCACATCTTCATAGCTCTCTGCATGAAGAATTGCTTCCTGATCTCAGTTCTAACTGTTTTAGTTCTGATTTTAAGGCTACACCTCCCTCAGTGTTACATTGTTTACTCATTCAAGGGATGAGGATGATGTTGGCAGTGTCAGTGAAGGTAACATATGTCTACATCAGGACATAGTGAGTGATTTGAACAACGTGGATGTAGTGGTGTTCTGATGATGATGTTAATTCGCTTATTGAATGACAAGCTTTGAGATGAGCTGTTACATTGAATGCAAATATTTCCTCTGTAAGTTTTATTTCTTCCTATCTCCTTAATTTTCCAAATTACTCCTCAGTGTTGCCAATTGGTTTTTTTTGTCTCATAAATTTTTTAAATTCTAAGTTTGAATTTATGATTCTTTTGTGAATTTATGATAGGTTTTTAAAATAATAAAGGGATTTGATAGGATAGATACGGAGAAACTATTTCCTCTGCTACGGGAATCCAGAACAAGGGGGCATCATCTTAAAATTAGAGCTCGGCCATTTAGGAGTGAAATTAGGAAGTTTTTCACCCAAAGGGTAATGGAAATCTCGAACTCTCTACCCCAAAACCTGTGGATGCTGGATCTATTCACATTTTCAAGACTGAGGTGGATAGATATTTGATACGTCAGGATATTAAGGGATATGGGACAAGGCAGGTAATTGGACTTGAGGTACAGATCAATTATGATCTTATAAAATGGCAGAACAGGCTCAAGGGGCTGAATGGCCTGTTTCTATGTTTTCTATGTTTCTATGCTATGACTCTTCAGCGTGTTTTGCATTCAGTTCAATCCTAATTGCTTCTCAGATCATATGAATATGAGCCTCTCTGGCTAACACTGGACAATTTTTCAAAACAAGAACAAAATGTTTCAGTTAACCAGCGTTAAGTCTCACCCATAAGACCATTTTGTCATAAAAAGGTAATATTGTGCAGAAAAGTGTAAAAATTTCAATTCAGACTTTATTTGGAACCCGGTTCTTTTTAACAACTGCACAAACTGGCTTCAAATAATGAGTCCACTTACAGGCCTTGAAGAACATGGAGGCAGCCGTGTTCCCCTGATGATGTTAATTCATTCAGTAAATGACAAGCTTTGAATGATGAGCAAAATGGTCTTACATGCCAAGCCGAGGTGGAATTTGGGGTCCTCAGTGCACTGTGTTGGGTGGGGATGAGCTACACAGATAAGAAAGCTCCCAAGTTCAATATTAGTCCATTTTTTGGCTGGAATGTCCATAACTTATACTCTGCTGCACCAGATCAATAGAATGATGAATATAAATAAAGGGATTCAAAAGCCATTTGAGGCCTTAAAATTTACAAATACATTCACATTCTCTTCAAGAATGAGAAAGATGACAGTGATCCTGGGTGTTGTAACCTAGTGGCTATTCAATCCAGCATAAATTAACGCAACATCAGCCTTAAACTGTCATAGAGTTTACCCTATGAAATTTACTGTATCATTGTCTACACTTACACTTGTAAATAATTTCCTTCCAAGATAAATTAAATTAGCCATAAAGAATAAAGAGAGTTTTCTGGATTCAAAAATAAATTCAAACTTGTGCCACAAGTAACAAGATGTGAAAGGAACTGCATAGATGCAATTTGCTCAAAAATGAAGAGCTCATGGTTGTTGTTTAATGTTCAGCTGAACAGGCGGACTTAACCCCCAGCAATGCAGCGCTCCCCTAACACTGTATTGAAGTGTTAGCTTGTAATGTGAGATCAAAGTAATGAAGTAAGGCTTGAAAGCACAACCTTCTGTCTTTGATGATAGTGCTACCAACTGAGACAGTTTAAGTTCTATCTGCCTTTTGGTTCAAATGGCTGTAAAGGGCCTGCCTTATCATTAGTTTTTGAAAGGTACAAGGAACCTTTCTCCTGGTTATTCCAATTTATATTTTCCCGATTCAAATTTACCCCCAAATTCAAATTAATTGGCTATTCATCTCTCATTATTCTTAATGGGATGTTCCTGGTGCCCATTAGCTGCCTATATAACAACATTCACTTTAATTTCTAAACAGCATAATTTTGCTTCAAAACATTTATTTCACGTGCAAAGTATTATACAGGGTGATCAAAAAGTCATGATGCTACCTTAACATCTAAAAAAAATCCATAATTTCTTTAACACTGATTAGACATTGTAATGGTACCACGACTTTTAGGTCACCTTGTATGTAATAGAACCCCCATTATAATTGTTTTGTTATAATATGTTTTGTCATAATGTGAGTTTGCTTGAAGTGTGATTGGTGTGTGGACCCTGACATTTACTTCCCCCAAAACATCCAGAACGTGTTTGCTGGCACCATCGGAGTTTGAAACATTGGCCATTGCAAATACAAGGAATGATTCCAGATCATTGAGTGGCCACTCACATTGGTTTCATTGTGCAAAAAGTGATGTCAGTGGTGCTCTAATGTCATTCATTTTGGCTGCCAGTTGGGGTTTTGAAACTCCAACAGTGTCGGCTGTGTTTCTACATGCACTTTGAGATATTCTTGATGTTATAGGCACTGTATCAAACGCAAGTATTATTAGTATTATATTAATATTTCTATTTTTCAATCATCTATCTAATTCCCTTTTGAAAGAATTTATGGACTCTACGTCACAATAAATGAATTGCGTAGGTCGTTGTTACTCAGAGGTTTCTTGCTTTTACACTCAACTGGAGTCTCTAACCATTATAATGAAGTTCTGTTCTTATATTTGGAATTGCTGAAAGTTGTAACCATGTAAGGTTATGTGAATCTTTGCCAGGTTTAGGAGCAGAAATGCCTACATTAAAAAAACAGGTAAATTGCTAAAATACCAATTTGTTATATGTCCAAATAATTCCCATGGCCACACCTGTAATTCATTCATAAGAACATAAGAACTTAAGAAATAGGAGCAGGAGTAGGTCATTTGGCCCCTCGAGCCTGCCCCACCATTTAATAAGATCATGGCTGATTTTCTAACCTAATTCCATTTACCCGCCCTATCCCTATACCCCTTAATCCCTTCAGTGTTTAATGCAGAGGCCAAGGTAATTTTTTTGTCTTTTTTTTGCTTTTTGAAATATACCAAAAGAAAATGTTAGCAAAGAAGATTGCTATCTTTAGTGATCAGTATAAATAAGACCCCATGACAGTCAGACTTTGTTATGCCATGCTTTGATGTAGTGTGTGTCATAGAATCATAGAATTATACAGCACAGAAGGAGGCCATTCAGCCCATCGTGTCTGTGCCAGCTCTTTGAAAAGAACTGTCCAATTCAATCCAACTCACCTGCTCTCTCCCCATAGACCTGCAAAATAGAATCATAATCTGTCTATAACACAGGTCTGCCATGGGCTGCAGTATACTGGAAGTAGAGAATAATTCTGGCTTGAATATTAGCCTGGCTCAGTTGATAGCACTCCCGCCTCTGGGTCAGAAGGCTGTGGGCCAAGCTTGTGTGCAAATTGGCTGCCATGTTTCCCTACAAAATAGATTCATGACAATTTACAGTAAAATCATGAGAAGTGCTTTGAGACAGCTTGATGACATGATCAAGTACTCTATGAATTGTAAGGATATTATTAATAATAGCTTTTGAATTATGCTGATTTTTCAAGAATGGAATCTAGCACGTAAAAGCACAACACTTCCTGCTCACCTCAGGATCTTGTACTGTGCTCCGGGATGCACATTGTTGTTGATATATTATCAGAATAGATTTTTACAACTAGGAGGGCAGTTATATAAGTGTCCTTTGTAAACAAGCCAAATCACGATGTGATGCTTGGAAAATGCTGTCTTTTGGCAGTGTAAATCCACCATTTATGCTGGGCTTACTTAATCATAATAACTTTGGGATAATTTTCATTTTCTATGTAGGTCAGCTGGAGCTTACCTAAATCTCCGATAGAACTTCACCTACAGCAAAGGAGTTTTTTCCACCCCTTGCCCAAACTACTTCTGGGATCTCCTATAGTCCTACTACCCTACTTACTTCCACTGCTCTTCCAACTCCAGCCCTACTTCATGTCCCCTCCCCACCTGAATCTGAACTGGCTCCAAGCAACAAGCTTGTAAAGATTGAGTCAACCCTCCATGGTGGCCTCGGTAGTTTCTGAGCCAGGTGGCGCGTCAATACTCCAAGACAATACTAATGACCGGCCAGCCTGGCTAGTCAGCAAGTATTGGAAGACTGGTCATTGGAAGCAGGGATTCTTTGTTAACCCTGCAAGCCAAAGCCCAAATGGGTAGAGAGGTCCTATCTGAACAAACAAGCTATCTGAAGCTTGCCGGACAGTGCTCTCAATGGCAAGCTCTGCGGTTTTAGTTGGTTAGACTCCAACAACTTTTGGGGTCCTCAAACATTGGATTTCATGAACCTGTGCCTAATACTCTCTGGAATTAGGTAAGCAAGGTGTGTCCTTCCATATAGAGAAATCACATTCCATTTCAGACACAGAGAGATTTTCATCTGTAGGTTGTGTACATCTGAGGAGCCCTCTATCTGGTTTGGCTACGCTTAAGCATGATGATGGATTTCCGCATGTGTCAGACACCCGGCTGACCAAAGTAAATCTCCCATGCTATAAAGTGCTTTGAGACATTTTTCTATGTGACAGGTGCAAGTTTTTGTTATTGTTTTGAATTTATGTGCTGTAGTATTTTTTAACATCAGCTACTTGCTCTTTTCATGAAGGATGAATGTCTCAAAGCAATTCACTTCAAGGCTGTTAGTGGAATGTTGCTGTGCATGAATTGAATGCCGATTTCATCTACAAAATGTACAAAATCAATAAATAAAGGGACTAATTCATTTGACTCCAGGGCAGCGGATAGGGAGGGACGGGAGATTTTTTTTCAGGGGTGGTGAGAGATTGAGGTGGGTTGGTGGAGGTGGGGAGGGGGATTGAGGAGTTAAGGCAGATGATGTAGTGGTCCAAGATGGCTTTGTTGATGATGGTGAGGTCCGAGACCTGAGGCCTCGAGTAATCACCAGATCAAGCAGGTGGCCGTGATCGTGGGTGGCAGATTAGATTAGAGGCAGAGTTTAGGAGAAGAGAGGAGAGAGGAGAAGTCAGCAGAGATAGAGGAAGAGGTGATTAAGTGCAGGTTGAAGTTGCCTAGGATGAGGAGGCGTTCAGATCAGAGGCAGAGGGAAGCTAGGAGGATAGAGATGTCAGAGCGGAAGGGAGGGGAGAATTTTGAGGGAAAGATTGGAGGAGCTCAAAGAAGGGGAATGAGCCGGTGGAGTAGGGGGATAGAGCAAGTGAGCATCTGGAGATGAGCCACACTATCACCACGGCAGGTAGGTTGTGAGGTATGGTGGAAGATGTAGCCAGGTGGTGTGGCATCAGTCAGGAGGAAGGTGTCACCTGGGGTGATCCAGGTTTTTGTGTGTCAAATATGTGTCAAACATCTATCTTGCAATTCCCAAAAAATTAATCCATCACTAAGGGGAGCCAAATCATGCTACAGAAAGTATATGTTACAGGAAGTTGCTGCAAAAAACTTGGAGATTGATTCCTCCCCAAGATTGTGAAAGGCGCTTATAATTTGTTGTTGTCTCTGAAACTAAATCCTCTTTTGTAATATGATTGATCCATATCACTTTAACAATCAAACTCTATTACTGTAATCTTTCTAAAGAAAGACCTTCCCAGAGATGGTGGATCAAGTTATAATAATAATCCTTGCATTTGATATAATGCCTTATCATGTCTTTGAGAAGTCTCAAAGCACTCTTCAAGACATCTCAAAGTGAACTAACTGCATAAGTTCAACACCTCAGTTAAATCTTAGTCATTTTAGTCACCCGTCCTTTGGATGAAACTTTAAACCAAGGATTGCTGGTCACATGGATTTTAAAAATCCCATGACATTTTCTAAAGAAGTTTCTTCCAGTGTTCTGGCCAACAATATCCCAAATAAAAAAATGGTCATTCACTTATTATTATCAATAATACCATTATTGTTAATAATATGTTATTATAGATAATATTTTCCAATAGTTTGTAATATAACTATGAGATCAATATGATTCCTTGGGAATTCCCATTATCTGTTATTTGAGTGAATTAACCCTCTTTGCAACACCTCACTATCTCATTTTTCCCAATGAGTAAATGTGAACACTTCTCTAAACATGCAGCTACTAGAGTTTTGTTTGTGACATATCTTAATGAGATTCCTTATAGTCTGAGTCACACAAATAGGAAATCGACATGGTGTGTGCCTAGCTTAGAGATATCAGCCTGGTTCAGTTGGTAGCGATTGGTTCAATTGGTCTCTTGCCTCAGAGACAGAATGTTGTGGATTCAAGCCCTACATTGAGTCTCCGCGCTCATAGTCTCGGCTGGCAAGGCCTGGGGTGTCCTGTGTTTATGGAGGTGTAGTCCTTCAGGTGAGATGCTAAATCAAGATCCTGTCTGGTTTTTCAAGTGGATGTTAAAGATACTATGGCACTATTTGAAAAGAGAAGGGAGTTTCATCTGGTGTCAGGGCAACAGTACCCCAGATAAAATTGTTCATTCAATTAATGGCTGCTTGTAGGATATTTTTGTATGCAAATTAGCTGTTGTGCTTGCCTACAGAACATACAGTCACTTTAATAATATAATAATAATAATCCTTGCATTTGCTATAGCGCTTTTCACATATTTTAGATGTATCAAAGTGCTTCGCAGAATATACTGTAAAGTGAATTGACTGTATACTTTGTGAGCGAAATGCGGCAGTGTTCCACAAACAGTCGTGGATTGAGTGACCAATTTATTATTGGCTTTCTTTCTTGAGGGGTTATTATCAGTCATGTGGAGTAAATCTTTACTTCAGAGTAAATCTTGTGAAGTACTTTGCGACATCCTTCTGACATGGATAGATCAAACGTAAGGAACATTATTTCGAACCAGATGTGTGTCACGGCGACCTAACGCAGTGTACTTCCAGAATGGAATTCCTTATCAAACGAATCGCATGTTATTAATACCACAAATTTAACCCAAATCCATCATAAAGTAGATTTCTGCAAGGTCATTGCAAACTTAGAAACTGAGTATATTTAACAAAGTCAAAAAGTTTACAACAAAGATATATGGATTCAAGGTCTAAAGAGGGAAGGTGAACAAATAGTTCAGACTTTACAGAGTGGAGAATCTGTGGGTTATGTTGTTCAGGGAGGTGATAAGACAGTTCATATCTGCATTCCAATTAGGAATTAACGAGTTGGCAAAGAAATCAAGTGAGGGGTAGGATTTTTATTTTCACTTTTGTTGTACTTTGGGACGGGCCAGATAGCTGCAATGATTTTTTTTATCCTGTACATTTAAAGAACTGTATTCATTTACAGCAGAAGAAGGCCATTTTGACCATCATATTTGTGGTGGCTCTGTGGTAGAGCAATCCATTCAGTTCCATTTTCCTACCTTTCCCCATTCGCTGCAAATCATAGAAACATAGAAGCCAGAGTAGACCATTCAGCCCCTCAAGCCTGTTCCACCATTCTATAAGATCATGGCTGATCTGCACCTCAAATCCAATTACTTGTCCTTGTCCCATATCCCTTAATACTCTGACTTAACAAATATCTATCCAGCTCAGTTTTGAAGATGTTAATGGATCCAGCATCCATAGCTTTTTGGGGAGAGAGCTTCAGATTTCCACAACCCTTTGGGTGAAAAACTTCCTCCTGAATTCACGCTGAGATGGCCTGACTCTAATATTAAGATTAATCTTTTGTTCTGGATTCCCCCACCAGCGGAAATAGTTTATCTGCATCTACCCTTATCAAATCCCTTTATTATTTAAAAAACCTCAATCAGATCACCCCTCAACTTCTAAATTGTAGGGAATAGAGACCAAGTTTATGCAACTTGTCCTCACAACTTAACCCTTTAAGACCTGGTATTATTCTGGTATATCTGTGGCTGCACCCCCTCCAAAGCCAATATATCCTTCCTGAGGTGCAGTGCCCAAAACTGAAGGCATTAATCCAATGGGGCCTGACCAAGGCTCTATATAGTTGAAGCATAATTTTCTCTACTTTATATGCCAGCCTCGTGAGACATTAGGCTTTTTGATAACTTTTTGTACTTGTGGGCTTGTTTTTAGTGATTTGCGTACATGGACATTCAAATCCCTTTACTCTTGCACAGTTCATAGTTTGTCACCATTCAGAAAATATTCTGCTTTGCTATTTTTGGATCCATAGTGGATCACCTCACACTTCCCCACAATGAATTCCATCTGCCACAATTTTACCCACTCACTTAATCTAAGTCACTTTGTAACATCCTGCTCCCATCTACACAATTGACTGCACCTCCTAACTTTGTGTTATTTGCAAATTTGTATATAAAATCATCCCCCCACTTTAGAGCTTGAATCCATGAGTCCTTGTTCTAGGTTTTTTGGCAATGTTAATTTTTCATATGTTCCTATGATTCATAATTAAGATAATCAGTGTTGGTGTTGAGTCAGATACAGCATCTGGTGTTTTTTGAATTTATGCTCCTCGCCCGCATGACCTAATCTTCAGCAAACCTGTCAAAGTGGATTTATGTGTATTCAGACTGCTGAGAACACTCCAAGCAAACCAACAACACTTGCTAATGTGTCGCTGGATGTAAATTTGAGCAATGTGTCAGCAATGTGTCAGTATACATCACTCACTCCTTCTGCCATGACTCCTATCACTGCCGAGTTATATAAATGCAAGTTGTTGTTATTATTGTTTGATTTTGAGAATAACAAATAGCTTCAATGACCTGTAAGAATACTTTGGAACTAAAACCTTAAATATGCTAATGGCAATCATAGTATTTTAAAACCAAAATTAACTTTATTACATACAATTACATAAAACTATACAATATAGAAACAGGCCCAACTAGTCCATACTAGTGTTTATCCTCCACACAAGCCCACACCTTGTCCACAGGATGATCAAAGGTCACGTGACCTTATTAGTTCACTATTTCCTGAGGAGGTGTATCATCAAACATCAAAGATTTTCAAGATGGTGAATAATTGGCCAAAGATAACTTCAAATGTTCATTCCTGACACCTAAAGGCTAATTCTTCAGAACAAAATGTAGGATGTAGAATAGCAAACATTAAAAAAGCAAATATTATTTACTGTAGGTATAGGGCAACTGATTCTTTGAAGAACTTTCAGTCTTTACCAGCAGAAATGGACAAGCTTTTCCATAACAAATCAGAATCAAGATAATTAAGCTACCAAAAGCAGCAATAACTTCTAAGTTCTCAGTTACTTTACAGCATATCGGCGACTAAACAGATCTGTGGTACTCAAAATATTCTTCATCTGTTACGAGCAACTACAGATTAATGACTTAGACATCTTTTCAAATGACTGGTGCAGAGTTGGTTAATGCTTCTGTTGATTCGCTCTTTGAGTTCCTCTCCCAACCCTGCCGGATCCTGGTGATCTTACTGTCCACACACGGAGTAATGAGAATCAACTTCAGAACCAGCACAATGCAGGGAATCACCAATGAAAGCATATACGGCAGAGGAAGACCCCACTTGTACCTTGAAATGTCCAGAAATCTATTCGAGCCGTAAACAAAAACATGAGCAGTGCACAGCAGCAGGGTGACATGGCCGAGTTTGGACTGTAAGAAGAGAGAGAACATTTCACTGGATCTCATTTAGAATGTAACATTGTTTAAACCTGTAGGGAGGAATATCACCGCAGTCTAGATTTACTCTATTTATTTAGCATATTTGCAAATTGTTGAATGCAACCTGAACTTTGATTTTACCCATTTATATTATCATACATAATATTATTTGTCTAGGGAATACCCAGTCACTAAACTTTAAAGATTTTCCTGTGAAGCACTTTGGGATGTCCTATCAACGTGAAATGCCCTAAATCAAAAGTCACTATTTGCAGTTTCTTAAAAGAACAGACAAAAAAACTGTTTCAAAATTAAGATTGTATTAGGAGTTTACCTAATTCTGAATGCTCTGAAATGCTACATAAATAGAAAAAATCTAAAACCATGTTGAATTTCTCCCTGTCAATGCTATTTCCATGATTTCTTTTTATCAGTCAAAAGTATAATTCCCTTTCTTCAATCAGTTACTTGCTTCCAATACAAATGAGAAAAAAGTAGATTCTTCTCAATCAATATACTTTTGCTGCCCGAGTAGTACAGTATGATTGTAACACTATATGATTGGGCATTGAGTTACAAATATTACATTTAATTGTGTTTTTTTTTCTTAGTTTAGAGAAAACATCCACAAACACAGAAAACTTCTGTACTGAATTCTAAGAACTCTTTCTATATAAGCAAATGGATTTAATTTGGGGTATTTCTGAACAAGTTTCTTCAGAAGAAATGAGCAATTATCAAATTTATAAAACATCAAATGTGCAGGAAAATACAAAGTTGACCTAATATACTGTAAGCACCTTCAGCACCTCAAGACATCCTTCTGACGTGAAAGGGCCTATATAAATGCAATTTGTTGTTGTAAGAGGGAAAAAAAAGTAATTGTTCTGATTTTAACTGTATTTAGAGATTACTATTTTGTCACTATTAATATCTATTCTGGTCAATCCAGTAGCATGATCGTAGTTGCAGATTGAACATCTATGACAAACGTTATTTGAAATGTATCAATAGTGGAAGAAGGATGAGACATTTAAGCAGATATTTGTGTGTTCAATCGTAAGTTAAAGATCCCATGGCACTATTCGAAAAGAGAAGGGAGTTCCTTCCAGTGTGCTGTCCAACAATCGCCCTCAGATAAAATTAGTCACAGGATTACAAGATTACTTTGGATGAAGAAGTTCCTTCGACCCATCAGATCTCATCCTTCTGGAATACCCACCCTTCTGCCTTCCCATCATATCATCAAGCTGTTTTTTGAATGAGTTCAGTGTCCTAGCCTCAACCACCTGTTCCAGTTGTTAATTATCCTCAGGGTAAACAAAAGCTGGTATTTGTTCTGAAATTGCCTTTTGCAACTCCAAACTGAGTTTCTCTTGTTCCATTTCTTGGTGTATCCTAAAGTATTGATCCAAGTTTCATTTTTCTATTCTAATTAAAATTTTATACTACTATGAGACATTTTCTCTTAAGGTTTAAAGAGCCCTAGCTGGTCAAACCTTTGCTCAAAGCTCATTCCTCTAACATTGGGGATCTTCTTTGTTGCTGTTCTCTCCACTGCCTCTAGGGCTTTGGGAGCCCTTTTAAGTTGCGGTGATTAGAACTGTATGCAATATTCAAGCTGCGGTCTAACCACAGCCTGAGTATCATGTTTGTTATCTGAACTCAACTGATTTAGCAATATAGGCCAGTGTCCTATTTACCAAAACAATGTCTTACATCAAATAATGTCTTACATCAATGTCTTACATTGTTCTGACATAGTGAGCAATGAGTCAATTAATCCACATCCTGGCTGTCTGTGGGCTAGTGCAGTGTGCAAAATTAGCTGCTGCATTCGTATAAAATACGTAGTCATTACACCTCACAACAAATCTTGTGAAGAGCTTTCAGATATCCTGCTGATATGAAACACGTTTTACATATATCAAATCCAAGGATTATTGGTATTACCTGCACAAACTGGAACTCTCTCCAGTTTACAGCATTGCTAACTGATGGAAGAGACGTAATCCCGAGTAAAACAAAAAGACCAAAGCCCACGATTCCCATTGCAAGGTACAGGTCAACACTCCAGAACCACCATTGGTTGTACTCTGCTGTTTGATTCTTTTTTGACTGCACAGAGACAAAACTAACATAAGAGTTACTGTGTAAAGGCAGTGGAACTTAATACAGTTTTGGTTACAAGGAAGTCGACATTTACAACTTACCTGGTACTGTTTTGTTATAAGATTTTACGTTAATAATTAATTCCCCAAATGTACAATAAAAAACACAAATATTTTTTGCCAAGAGCACCAGAAATTATAGAGAATACCTGATGAACAATTATGAAGTATGATTGACATAACTCACAAATATTTTGATTTGCTAGTGAGCCATTTTCAATGCCATGAGTGAAATATAGATTGCATTAGGCAATTCTGTTATTACCCATAACCCATAGTAGTCTACCAAAAGGTAGTGCTAGGAATATATTACATTGTTGAGTGCTGTCCTGCGGATGAGACGTTAAACTGAGGTCTCGACTGTCTGCTCAAATGGATGTTAAAGATCTTACTTGAAAAGAGAACAGAGTTTCTCCCCATGTCATGGCCAACAATCCCCCAAACAAAGTTGTGGCTCATGTCCCAGGAAAAAAATGGCATTTAGTCCCTCTTTGAAGTTGTCAGGTTGCCACTGACGTCACTTCCAGCTTCCAGTTTTTCAGTTTCCTCCCTTTGATACATTCAATTGTTGAAATAAGTACACTTAAAATAAAAAATTATGCAAGCCAAGCTCATTACCTCTTTGATTGTATATTGCATCCATTTCCATCGAACTGAGTATCGAATTGGTATGATTAGCGTGTAGAAAACATGAAGGAAGGCGAAGGCTAGGGCTACAAGCCCCAGCTGTTTTCGACACAACATCCACCTGTCCAGCCAGTTTGGGAAACGCTTGTACTTTGTGCCTCTGTAGAGTTGAAGGAATGCAGCCATCACACCTGGCAGGTAAACCAAGCCCAGGAGGATGAGAGAGACAATTGGGAAAACACGGTTGGGAATGGAGACAACAATCCGGTAAGAATCATCAACTTGTTTTGTTACATACGGATTGATTACATCAGTCACCAAACAGTACAAGTAGATCAAAACGGTGAGGCCAGCCGTTATGATAAATGGAAGCCTCCACATTGGGAAGAGCTGCAGAGGGTAGTTTTCCACTTCATTGGCTGCTAACAGAGATCCCTGGTCTAAAGGAGTGAGGCCAATACTCCTGGCAATGTCCATCACCAAATGTTTGGCTTCACCATCCTCTCCACAGACAAAGACCTGTATTAAAGAACAGTAATAGATTAAAAAATTTTATTTTTTAATTTTCTATTTTCTAGTTGAAGATTGGACAGGAGGGGCTTTTTTTTGGAACATAGCAGATATTTTTTATCCCATTTCCCCACATCCTTTAAAAACCTTTACTTTCTAACTATTTATTTACTCCCTTTCAAGCGTGCCGATAAATTCTACATCTGCAGGTGTCACTGTTAGAAGTTCCCTTCTGTTTTTGAAAGTGCTGTGGGATCCTAATGCTCACCTGAACAGACAGATGAGACCTCTTTTTACCATCTCATCTGAAAGATGGCACCTCTGATAATGCAGCGCTCACCCAGGACTGCACTAGACAATGAGTTTAAAGTTTAAAGTTTTTATATCCTGGGGAAGCTGAGGCTAATTTTACCACTTCTACTAAGGCTGCAGCTGAGTTCTGCTGAGTAAAAATACATCAAGCTGATGATCTACTTGATCTATGTGGCTCAGCAGTACACACAGACATAGATCCATGCAGTGGGAAGCCACACAAAATATTTTATTACAGAATATAATTTCTCCAGTTCAAGATATTTAGCATAACAAGATTATCAGTACTTAAATTCCATTGCTATTCTATTATTTGCACCGTTATAGATTACAGAATTATTGAAAACACAGGGAAATCCACAATCTACTTCTGGGTATTTTAGATCTGAGTGTGAGCAGGAGTTCTAATCATTGGCTTGGAAATCTCAGAAGAGAGGTTCAGTTGGTGTTCATTGACAATAACATAAAATTTCAATCTTACCTGACTGTTTGCGTCCAGGTTCCCTGATTGCAGGGCCCAGGCTGAAACGGTGTTAAAGCCCTTCACCACAATGGCTTTGGGAACCAGCTGAGACAGATACGCTGCATTAGACTCTCGGTACTGGTTTATTTTCAGGTTGTTGCTCACATCCACCAGCACTTTACCATCAAACAAATCACACAGAGGTTGGAGGAAGTCATAATTTTCCCTGTGAACAGCCAAGAAGATGATCTGGGATCTTTTCAGAGCATCAGCGTGTGTGAACACCTCAGCTCCTCCAGGCAGCAGGGCAGAGTTCTTGGGGTTTCGGCTGCCGAATATCACGGGATATCCAGCCTTGATCAGCCTCATACCCAGGGACCTGCCAAAATCTCCAGTCCCCAAAATACACACTGCGTTCCGTTTGTGGACATGTTCACCTTTAAGTGAATTCATATTCATGAGTGCAGAGTTTTCTATCTGCGAAACACAAACAAGCCACATGGTAATTTTATTGAACAAAATGAAAAATATCACAGATGTTTTAATAGAGAAAGATTCCCATTCTAAAGAATCAGGCAGCCAGTAGTGGTATATATTTTTATTTTTGGTGAATTTGCCTTTCATAAAAATGATGGGTGGGACTTGGAATACTTTCTTATTTCGGAGATTTGGTGTCAGTACGGAACATTTCCAGGTTAGATACATTGCCCAAATAATGTACTTCAACTCCCGTCCTCAGAAACTACCTCACCTCAACCGTGTGATATTTACTATTTCACACACCAGCTTCTCAATAACCTTTCAGAATGGGTTTATTTATATCATAATAATAATAATAATAAACCCCACCATTGGGACTTGGAACTCACATCGTCTATTCTGGCGTTTCAATGCAGTGCTGGGTGAGCGCTTAATTGTTGTAGGTGCCATCCTTTAGATGAGGAGTTAAACCAAGGTGGACTTAAAGATCCCAAGGAACTATTTGAAAAGCAAAAGGAGTTTCTCTTACTTAGAAGTTGCTTCCTTTTATATACTGTGGAAATCTGCCACCAAATTAAGACTACATTTAAGATTCAATAACATCTTGAAATAGCAACAACAACAACAAAATTACATTTGTATAGTGCTTTTTACATTGGGAGGACGTCCCAAGGCACTGGACAATCAGTTTTTTGGACGCGAGCTGGGACGGGATCTGGGAGGTTGAAGGGCAGGGGAGAAGGAGGGTAACCAAAGAGGAGGTCAAAGAGGAGGGTCTTGAGGCAGGTCTTGAAGGAGGCAAATGAGGGGGCGAGGCAGAGGGACTGCAGGATGGAGTTCCAGAGGGTGTGGGCAGAGAGACAGAATACCCACCCGCCAATGGTGTGACCGGTGAGGCAGGGGACGTAAAGCAGGTCAGAGCCCGCTGAGCGGATGGAGCGGGCAGGTTGGTAAGGGATTAGGAGGTCGCAGAGGCAAGTTTGAGCAAGGCCATGGAGGACTTTGAAGGTGAGGACCAGGATCTTGAACTGTATCCTCTGCGTGATGGGAAGCCAGTGAGGTCCGACAAGGTTAAGGGTGATAGGGTCGCGGAGCCAAGTGTGGGAGAGGACATGGTCTGCAGAGTTCTGGATGATCTGCAGTCTATGGAGGGGGGAGTTGGAGATGCTGACGAGCAGGGAGTTTGCATAGTCGAGTCTCAATGTTATGAATTTGTGTATGAGTGTCTCTGCGGCCTGTGGTGTGAGTCAGTGGCGGAGCTGAGTGATGTGTGGTGATGGGGGAAGGCAGAATGGGACATGGCAAGATCACAAGAGTTTTGCAGTAAAATTAAAATATGTACTGAGCTAAAGCTGATATGAAATGTTAAGTCAATTTAGTTTTGCAGGCTAAAATTAAATGGTATTTCAGGCGTACCCTGCGCAGAATCACAGGTATCAAATCCATATCTAAATCTGCTATAGTGCAAATACTGGAGGCCCACCATGTGTCATGATGTCTTCCACTAAATTGCATTTAAGAGACTCATTACTCCTCAAGCTTTAGCTGGTAAGTGCACTCCCTGTTGTGCTTTGATCCATACAGATAAGACAAATCTCAGCTTCAATCTCCATTCTGTGGTGGTAACTGAGCTATCTAATATCAGTTGGGATCACAGGTCTTTTTTTAGTCTGCTTTATCTCCATGGGTAACACGCGGAGAAACCCATCACTATATCCAAATAAGACAAATTCTGCATATGCATGTCACCGATAAATGGAAATTTCCCAGTATCTGGATTGAAGTGTGTGCGCACTCTCTCTGGAAGGACTCACCCTTCTTACCAAAAATTTTAAAATATTAGGCAAAGGATAGCAAGAGCCAAGGACTGGGGACCCAAGTGTGTGCATTGGGGTATTGCTGGAGTTTAACCAGCTAAAACTATGCAGCTTGCCATTGCCAACCCCACTGCTTATCCAGCTAGAAATACCCTACTTGCTTTGGTTTGCCTTGTTAACAGGAACCGAGTGGGAATAATCCCTGCCTCCATTCACAATGTTTTCAATGGGGGTAATACAAATAGCTTCAGTAACCCTGAGCTAGGCAGTAGAAAAAATTAAGCAGGGCTCCCACTCATGTGATCACCATATCATAATCCTTGCATTTGATATAGCACCTTATCACGTCTTCGAGACACCTTATATCAGTGTTTACATTCAGTAACCACTTATATAAAATCTATACGGATCTTAAACACTCTCCATTATGATGCCTCAATATCAGTAGTCTTCTGACATTGTCTCAGTGCATGCATAACAAGTGATGAGATACAAAAAGATTATCGGTATCTGTGGAACCAAAGTCCAGCAAGAATCACCCTCAGGAGAAAAGCACAGAAAAGGAGAAAATAGGAAGAATTAATGATGGAAATTCAAAAAGCTACACTTTATCCAAATATATTTTTCATTCCTAAAGAGTTGCACATATTGTTTTACATTCCATCATCTATGCAGAATAAACTAAGTGCTGTTTCACACCATTTATCATTCCACGTCTCTGTGTCACTGAATGTGGTTATCTATTTATATAAATCTAAAACCATTCAAATAGCACACTTGAAATCCATACATATACATGCTTTAACAGTATTGCATTCACCTTCCTACCTGTAATACTTCAGAGAAGATTTAATTCCCTGCTGCAGGAACTGTAAAAGTTCAGAGGCAAACAAGCAGCTGGAAGCCAACATTTATATCTTGTCTTTAGGTCAAGTTCAACAGACTGTGATGTTTCTCCTACTCTTTCCATATTTAAACAGTCGGATTGTGCAATTCTGGAATTTCTGTCACATTCTCTTTTTTTNCTACCTCAGTCTGCCAGCATAGATCATTTCCAGTTGAATTCAAGCACACTTGGTGAGCCAAATATTCAAGGGAAATTCCCTGTGCCAATTAATTTTGATATTTGCCTTGTGCCTTCCCAGAAGAACAGACCACAAATTTACATAAAGATATTTCATCATGTTTTGGACCTGCAGGTTGATAGCTGAAAGTAGAACAGTCATAATAACAAACTGTAATGCCAGATCACAGCTGGATCAGTAACTAACTCTCATAACTTGTCACATACCACAAAAACTAACACAAGTTTTACACATCACATGGCAGGAAATTGCAGATGCAGCTTAAAGTAAAGTCGTCTTTGCACATCCAATGCAGGGTAATTTTTTTACTGGGAGCTGCTGTTTGGTTGAAAAATGTGAATTGTGACTGATAAATATCACGAAAGATAATGATTAACAACAACAACAACAAGATGAGGTCAAGTGCCAAGAAAGGGAGAGGGGAGAGGGGGAGATGACTTTAGGTTTGGTTGAAGAGGTAAGTGTTTAGGTGGGATTTGATGACAGATAGAGAGGAGATGAGACAAGAGGGGTAGATGGAGGGAGTTCCTAATTTTAGGGCCATGGTAGCTGAAGGCACAGCCACCGATGTTGGTGCAGAAAGAATGAGGAACACACAGCATTCCTGAGTCAGTCGTGTGAGTGAGCGAACAGAGATGTAGGGCAGCAGATCACTGTCAGGCAGTTGGGAACCAATTCTTTGTCAAGATGTATAACAAGGATGTTATCAACGCTCTCAAGGATAACCAACCTGCAAGAATGAATAATAATTCAAATAAGATCTATTCTTAGTATTTTCAAGTGAGACAGCGATTTACGTGTACTACCACCAAATAATTTACTGCATTCGCTGCTCACGATGTAGGAGACATCTCTACATTGGGGAGACGAAACGCAGATTGGGTGACCGATTTGTTGAACACTTCCGTTCCGTCCACAAGCACAACCCTGAGTTTCCGGTTTCTTGCCACCTCAACTCCCCCTCCCACTCTGACCTCTCCATCCATGGTCTCCTTCGCTGTTCCAATGAGCCACAGCGTAAGCTCGAGGAACAGCACCACATTTATCTGCAAGGGACCTTACAGCACTCTGGCCTCAATATTGATTTCAACAATTTCAGACCATAACAACTCACCTTCCCCCCCACTCCCTTTCTGTGACCATTACCACATCATCTGGGTCCCAGACACACTTTTTCTCTCCCTGATCTGCCTGTTTTATTGCAAGTTCTTTCCCCCCCACCCCCTTTTTCTTCTGCAATATTAACACCTCTTTTAACCCTGCTTTATTGCAACCCCCCCTTTGCTCTGCATCATTAACACCTCTTTAACCTGTCATCCCTTGTTCTCTACCCAATTTTCTCCTGTCTTCCTTGCCCTGCCTCCCCCCTCTCTGTAAGCCCTTAAAAGCCTCTCCCTCCCAACATGCCCCAGTTCTGATGAATGGTCGTGGACCCGAAACGTTGACTCACTTTCCTTTCTCCATAGATGCTGCTTGACTTGCTGAGTGCTCCCAGCGACTTCTGTTCTTGTTTTCTATTCTTAGTATGATTTGTTTTATACAAACATAGCTTTTAAAATGTGACAGTGACATTAAGTACAGACCTAGATGTAATAACCAATGTGACTATGTATATATATGTATATAGGATGGAATTGAATTGCCCTGAAAATGTACATTGTTGTTTTAAACTTTTGTAGATGTTTCCTTTAGAAAATAGAGCTAATTATTCCTTTCCCACACTGTGTTTCCAAACCATTATTTGTGACAATTCACATACCCTTGTTACAATCCTTGTATTTTGATATAAGTATTAAAACACTTCACAGGTAGTTACTATGTAGTTGTAACTGTAGGAAAATATGGGAGATAATTTACACATAGTGAGGCCTTACAAACAGCTATGAAGTGAATCGCCAATTTATCTGCAGGATTGCAGGAATGTTTTCGCACAGTCCCTCCGCCTTGCGGAGTCCCACCTGAAAACCTTCCTGTTTGACCGTGCTTACGGCCACCTCCCCAGCCCCCACCCTACTGGCTCAGAGTCAGGCTCCGCCACTGTTATGAGCTCTGAGACGCTACCATGCATGGAGCATACAAAGCCCTATCATGCTGTTGAATGTTTCAAAGCGCTTCACAGAATAGTGTAAAGTGTAGTAACTGTGTACTTGTAAGTGAATGTGGCAGCCAATTTGTGGACAGCAATCCTTCATAAACAGCCGTGAAATGAATGACCATTTTTCTTTAATTGGGGGATTTTTGACCAGGACACCAAGAGACACTTCTTTCCTTTTTCAAAGGTGGCATGGAATATTTAGCATTCCCTTTAGATCCTCAGTTTAAGGTGCCAAAGATAGCACCTCTGATAATACAGTGCTCTTTTAACACTGCTTTGGAATGTCAGCCTATACTATTTGAGTTCAAAGTCTCAAGACCTTCCTCTTTGACTGTGCCTTCTGTCACCCTCCTACTTGTCACTTACCTGTGAAGCACAGTTTCTATCGTTTAATCCTGTTGCCAGGAATTTGTAAGTATCTGAATTGCACTGAAATCTGTTGATAGTCATAATTTACTTAATCCTTCTTAATTTAGCAAATTGGATGCATATTGGCTGAAAATAGGATCAATACAAGAAATGCATCTCAAGATTCAATTCATGGTTCTTGGGGAAGTGAACTCAACTTCCTTTCAGACTTGAAAAGAGGTGTATCAGAATGAACCTTATAAAAACATACAAGATTTTAAACAGTATTGAGAAAATGATAATACTGCCTGCACTGAGACAGCAGAACAAGAGGACATAGGTTTAGAGTTGCAAAGGGTAATTTCAGGGCAGACACCACTAAATATTTCTTTACCTAATGGGAAATTAATGACTGGAACAGGTGATTAGGAAGAGTGGATCAGTTTAAAAAAAGAACTTGTTTCTGTGATGGGAGGTCAATGGGTCGAAGGATCTTTTTCATCCCAAATTATCTTCTGATCTTAATTTTCTGAGTCCTTTAGGATGCAATAATACTTTGGTAACCAGACTTTAATACAGACAAATGGGATACAAGTCCCCTTTCTCTCCTAGCTATAAGTGTCTTGCTAGGGTGATAGGCATGTCGAACAGATGATGAATATAGGTGGTGTTAAGGGTGGAAAGGTTGTGGAAGCTACAAAGCATCTCGGAAAAGAGCTAAACACGTTCCTGTCAAATAAAGAGATCCTTTTATTTAGAAATAATTATTTTGAAGGAATCTTGTGGCAAATTTGATGGATAGCTAGATGGATTTGTGGTCTATTCCTACTTGAAACTATTCCTTACTACAGACTTACATGTGCTCTCAGCCTGATTATTGTGCAAACACTCGTTCTGATCAGCTGGCTTCTTGTTGGTGGAAAAATATATAGGAAATCAATTTTACATTGTGGCTCTCCTGTCATAAATGTCGTAAACCCAAATAAAAGGTTTCAGCTCAAGATTAGAAATCCCTGAGATAAAAGACTTTATATGGAGTTATAACCTTATATAGAGTTATAATGGTGTGATTGGCATCAGTGATAATTAGTATATTATGTATCATTTGCAATTTTCCCCCCAGAGTCCACAGAAGAAAGCTATTTAAATTGTAAATACTGATTTCATAGAACATAATTCAGCAGAGAAATATATAATTTGGCCCTTGAAAACTATGTAGCTGCTGGCACTTCCACTGGAGCTAACCACTTTAATCCTTATTTCATGCTCTCCCTACAGTATTACAATATTTTGTTGCTCAAATGTTCAATATTAGTTTGGGACTCAATAGTCACTTGTGACTAAGCAGTCCATGTTTAGGTTATGTGCTCTTTCAGTGACAATCCTGCATTTGTCTTAAAAAGTAGGATCAAAGGGCAGTGTTCAATATCGAGGTTACAAAATCTGCATCCTTGGACTTTCCAGTCAAATGACGAAATGTTAGTAACCACATCCCAGTATAAGTACAATTTGCAGTCCATCCCTTTTTTGTGTGCATATGAGTAATTTACTTGCAGCATGTACCTTGGCATCACTTTCTGTTGTAATTATTTGTCTTTTGCACTGTTCGAGTTCAGCATTGAAATCTGACTCAGGTTATACTGGGTGGATTCTACATGTTTCTTATAGACCAGAGATTGAGATGACTGATTGGTCTTGGTCTCAGTGACATGAAGGTCAATTTGTAATCACACTGTTTTATAATATTAATCCTTGCATTTGATATAGCGCTTTTCATGTCTTCTCGACGTCTCAAAGACTTCACAGAATATGCTGTAAAGTGAATGGACCGTACATTTATGGGTGAAACGCAGCAGCCAATTGTGCACAGCAGTGTCCCACAAACAGTCATGGATTGAAAATGACCAATTTATTAATGTTTTGTTTTAGAGGGATTATTATTATGCGTGCGGAGTAAGGAAACTTGCCCAAGGTTTCGCCCTCTGCCTGGAATTGAACCCAGGTATCTCGCTTGCAAGGCGAGTGCTCTAACCACTGAGCTGCAGGACTCCTGGTAATAGTGAACAGAATGGAAATTGGCCAGATTTCTTTCATTGTCAATTTCCCTCCAGCTAATAAATAATGTAGAATAACTGTGGATGTTTCATATCATCCCCAGCACTTTCCAACACAAGTTGCAGACTATCCAGAACTCTGCAGTCTGTGTATTCTCTCACACCAGGCTCAGCGAGCCTATCATCCCATCTGATAGGTGGTACAGATAGGGTGAGGGACATGAGACCACCAGTATTTGTTGAGAAAAAGGAATGGCCAGGTTGGTAGGTTTGAAATAGATTGTGGAGGTCGAGTGGAGTGAGGCCTTGGAGGGATTTGAAGGTGAGAATGAGGATTTTGAATTCGATCCGCTGAAGGATGGGGGGGAGCCGGTGAAGCCGACCAAGAATGGGGATGATAGTTATTCTGAAGCTTTGTACTGAAGTGTTCATCTACAAAATCCAGTCAATCTAGTCA